GCCTACAAACTTTCTATTTTCCTACTTCCCATATTTTCCCAGAAAACAACTGAATAAATAGTGTAGCTTTATCTGACCTCTGGCTAGACAAAGAAGATAAACTACTATGAGGGAGAGGTCAAACAAACATCTACTCTCCATCTTATGATTTGTTTCTCCACTACCCGACTCCCAAGGTACCATAATGTATTAGTCTGAGTACTTTAGAAAAACAAATCCACAGAAATTCATATATGAGAGAGTTTTATATAAAGGTTAAGTGGACATCAAGAAAACATCCCAACCCAGTGCTGCCCAAGCCCACAAGTCCAATATTAACTCATATGTCCGACACCAATCCGCAAAGTCCTCCTCCATCTCACAAAGCACATGCAATGATGCCGACTGCAGGAGGAAAGCTGAACCAGTGAACCTGTAAGCATCTTAGAGCTGGCAGGGGTTGCTCCAGCACCCAGGACTGCATTTGGGTAGGTCCATGCGGCTTCTCCTTGGGGATGTCCTGCAGGAAGTGAGCCTTGCTAGCTGAAGCAGGAACTGGCTAAGGCAGCTGCACCCTCATCCGACCATCAGAAAACAAGAGACCCAAGCACTCGAAAGGCAAGGCTCACCTAGCCATTTATCTCTCTGCCCTTCAATTAACCCCACCTGTGTTTATCAGCCAGGTTGGCACAATAAACTAACTACCTCAATTCACCCCTTGCCAACTTGGCACATGTACATAATTCTTTAGCCTCACACTTGCAATTAGGTAACACCTATACCTTAATCCTATAATCCTGTGAATATGTTCCCTCACCTATGAAAGTTTGTAAGCCAACCACTTCATGCCTTTATAAACTAACTACATCAGGGATAGTGGGGGATGATAGGGAGGGAAAGGGGCTTTCAGGAATTAAAAATGAAGGCTGAAGGGTGTAGGGAGCACTAGAACTGACTGTGATTGTACAACTCATTTTAAAGATGATTCAACCATGACCAGCAGGAAGGGGGGTGGGGGGTCTCCTTGATATGATTGAATGGTTGAATTATTGAATAGTATGATATGTAAATTATGTGCCAATAAAACTGTTATTAAAATTTTTATTTTAAATACCACGGCATGGGTCAGGCACACCTTAGCCCTTAAAGTAACATCCTTTATTTTCAAGGTGGATTTCACAGATGCAGGTAGGTTAAAATTTAACACGTTATCATTTGATCACCCTTTTGAGTCATTTTTAAATTGTTCTAATTTATTTTCTATGCAAGTTTTTCTGTTTTATTCTGTTATTGCTATTTGTTGTTGCTGTTTTTGTATGTTTTTCTGTATATGAAATCCAAGATAAGTAAATCTAAGGAGACAGTAACTGGGTAAAGGATTTCTTGCAGGTATGGCAAGGGAAGTTAGGGGGGTATGGGGAGCTAATAACAATGGGTACAAGAAAGAAGAAAATGCCCTAAAATTGATTGTGGTGATGATTGTACAACTCTTCTTGATATAGTTGAACTATTGATTTATATGATACATGGATTATGTGGCAAAAAAAACTGCTCTAAGAAATTTAAAAAATAAAGAGGTCTTGTGCAGCAGATTTACACAATGTAGTGCATTATCTGATCTATGGACTGCTGCTTCTATGATCATTGATTGTGGATCCAAACAAGATTAAATCCTTGACAACTTTAGTCTTTTCCCTGTTTGTCATGATGTTACCTGTTGGTCCAGTTGGGAGAACTTTAGTCTTCTTTGCATTGACTTGTAATCCATAACCAAGGCTGCTATCCCTGTTCTTCATCAGCAAGTGTTTCACGTCCTCCTTACTTTCAGCAAGCAACGTTGTGTCAGCTGCATGTCACAGGTTGTTAATAAGCCTTCCTCCAATCCTAATGCCACATTCTTCTTCATATGATACAGCTTCTCTGATTATTTGTTCAGCAGGCAGACTGAACAAATATGGGGAGTGGATACGAACCTGATACCTTTCTTGATTTTAAAACATGAAATATTCCTTTGTTCTATTTGAACAACTGCCTCTTGTCTCTGCTTTTGAAAGGCAGGAAGATTAGGGGTAGAGGGGGTTGTCTCCACCAAATGCCTATGCAAAACAAAAATTAGATGCTCATGCCACAACAAAAGGATTGGAAAGAAATAAGGCACACATTAGACACCTATGGGGATGATCCAAAGTTGGAGATGCTCAGACCAAGGTCACCTAGACACAGGTGAGGGTCAACCTGGCACACCCACTAGGCACCGGCAACATTGAATCACACATTTGCCTGAAATCAGCCACTAAGGTGGGCCAATATCTTCAACCATGCTCCCCCACTAAATAGCAGCAACTGAGGGCAGCCCACTCTCTCTTTCAGGTACTCTCTTTCAGATACATTTTCAAGTGCTCTCTTTCAGGTCCGGGGGTGGGATCTCTCCTGCACATGGGCACACTCTTTCAGGACTCACACTCTCTTCTTTTTCCAGTTCTAGGGCTCCTTTTTTGGTTCTGTGGACTCCACTTTCCAGCCATTTTTTCATTTTTTGCTCTCCCCTGAAGCATCCATTTTCAGTCGCAAACTCTCCCACAGCCCCTACCATATGGCCTTGTATGATTTCCAGAGATAGCGTGTACTTGCTGAGACTGTATTACCCAAAACTTCCCTTTCCCTCATAAAAAGCTACTTGGATTTACAAAAGTGCTTCTGCAGTGTGAATTCTTTCAGCGTGGAGAAGCAAGAACCAAGGAAAACCATCCCAGAAACCAAACATTTTCAGCCAAGAGCCATCTGACATCAGCAATGATATCCTTTGTTCCACATCTTCTGAATCTGGCCTGAATTGCTGGCAGCCCCTGGCAATGGACTGTTGCAGCCATTGTTGTGTGATCTTCAGCAAAATTTTACTTGCATGTGATATCAATGACTATAAGACCCTTGGAAAGATTTGTGGATCTACACAGTACAGTAAAAGTGGTTTCTTTTTTTTTTTTCTTTTCTTTTTTTTAAGAACAATTTTCATTTTATTTCCTTTCAGATTTGTTTTTCTTCAGCTCTAATCTTTACATAGGCTTTGGAAGAGGTCGTGGGGCAGCACCTGGAGGTCTAAATCGAGGTGGGAGTTCGGTCCTTCCGGGCTTCACGTGACCGGTTCCTGACCAATTTGCTGTGAATGACACAGCTCACACAGTAATGCCCCTTCACGTACAGCTTGGGAAGCAAGTATGCATCAAAGACATTCGCTTCAAAAATGGGCTGCACATGGCAGCGGCCTTTCTTAGCCTGACCGTTGTTACGCCTTTTCTTTGTCATCTCAGAAGCCAGGACGCGAAAGAAAGATAGAAGTGTTTTCTGAATACAATGATCCCTTGTGACTTGAGAAGAAATGCCAAGATAAATCTATGACGTGCCATGGAATTCCTAATATCTTCTTGTCTTCCACCTACTCCATTACATTATCATTCACAACAAATGCTTGAAAGGATTAGGAACAACTTTATGTGGGAAACTGAGGACTTGGAAGAAAGTGTACATGGCCCTTTCTCTACACTCAGGACCACAGGGCTTGGCAGACCAGCACTAGTGTCCAGGCATACCCGCACAGTCCCAGGACCATGGATAGCGCCCAGATGCATACATTCCAGAAAGGACATTTACTCCATAAGTATCCCGCATGAAAATGCTAATATAAAGCAGTCTCCTACAGACGCCTTGCTCCTCACATATGCAATAAGGGATGCTTATTCATTAAGAGCACCCGCTTCCTTTGTCCTTTACTCTTAAGAAGCAATTTACACCTTTGTCTGCTGCACACCTGGTACTTCTCCTAAAGTGTTCCCCTAGAGAGCTCCGGATCTCCAAGAGTCACACATTGCCCAGTCTGTGTATGTATTAACAAGAGGCTTGCAGGCCTCATTACAATAAAACCCCATTGTTGAATAAACTCGAGACTCTTCTCCCGATATTGGAGATCAGTCTCCTGTGCTCTCCTCAGGACCCCATTCAACTGTGAGGCTGGACCCCACCACCTTGTAATGTGCCCCAGTGTTCCCATTGGCAAAGGCATCACTAAGCCCATGCAGTAAATGTCCAGATGTGAAAGTAAAACCAATTTATGGTAATCGTCCCTGATTCTGAGCTAAAACAAATGTTTTAATAATGGAATTCCAAACCTATCAATGTAAACATCAATCAGACAGGTGATAAAATTTGAGGCCCTAGGTAATTTTTTATGGATAATGTCTCCACCCAGATTGCTTCATCTCCAAGTTCAGACTTGGAGTTAATCAGTATTCTTTGTCATCAACTATTGGGTCCAGAGAGGCTAGGAAGTAGGTGGTTTAATTACATTCTGCTTACCTGTAATGAGTCTCTCAGGAAATCTGGTCCCAGTGGCCATGGAGGCTCCTGTAAATGCCTGTTCTGTGATTTCCCCCAAACATCCTTCCTGCATACAGGGCCAAGGCCAATGCCAAGAGCCTCTTGTCTTCACTCACTCAGGACTTACCTATATTTCCAGAACTTCCCAGACTTTAGAAAACAGTGGAGCATTGATCACTCCATAGTGACAGCTGCACTTCTCCCAGGTAAGACTATACCAGTGGAATTGTCAATATTTACTGAAAACTAAATTTAGGAGCTTCCTTTGCTAAATTTTGCAGAGTCCACAGAACAGTAATAGGAGTCCTAAATCCACCATCTATGATAAATTCTCTTGTCTCTTTAAGAGTAACTAAATACTTGGGATGTGAACTGTGAGATGTAAGATAAGTAAATAAAAAGTTGATCTGTATATATGACTGTGTTTTACATCATAAAACCTAAAAGAAGGGAAAAAGAGTCAATGAACACAGTAGGAATAGCATTAAGGTTTCCTGTTAGAAATTGGGAGTGTAGATACGGTAAACAGTTGTTTTCTTAGAAACTCTGTTAACTGATTTACAATGTGGTCCATCCAGGAGTTTGATTGTCATATCTTAACTATCTATGTGCAGGTTTCTGAATTTGCTGTCGTGTATTAACTTGTGATTATGCCCATGAATGGAGCAAACCAATCCTCTGTCTCCGAGTTCCTCCTCCTGGGGCTCCCCGGGCAGCCTCAGCAGCAGCAGCTCCTCTTCACGCTCTTCCTGAGCATGTACTTGGCCACAGTCCTGGGAAACCTGCTCATCATCCTGGCCATCAGCACAGACTCCCGCCTGCACACCCCCATGTACTTCTTCCTCAGCAACCTGTCCTTCGTGGACATCTGTTTCTCCTCCACCACTGTTCCCAAAATCCTGAGTAATCACTTACTTGGGAGTCAGGCGATCTCCTATGCTGGGTGTCTCACACAGCTGTATTATCTTATTGCCCTTGCCGACATGGACAATTTCCTCCTGGCTGTGATGGCCTATGACCGCTTTGTTGCCGTGTGCCACCCCTTGCACTACACAACTAAGATGACCCCTCAGCTCTGTGCTCTGCTGGTCACTGGGTCTTGGATCATTGCCAATTTAAATGCTCTGTTGCACACCCTGCTGATAACTCCACTCTCATTCTGTGCAGACAACAGGATCCCCCACTTCTTCTGTGACGTGAGTCTCCTGAAACTCTCCTGCTCTGACACACAAATCAACGAGATGATGGTTCTTATTGAGGGAGGCCTCATAATGATAATGCCGTTGGTTTGTATCCTGGTTTCCTATATCTGTATCACCTGTGCTGTTGTGAGAGTCCCATCAGCAAAAGGAAAGTGGAAAGCCTTCTCCACCTGTGGCTCCCACCTGGCTGTGGTATCCCTCTTCTACGGCACCATCATTGCTGTGTATTTCAACCCTTCATCCTCCCAGTCAGCTGAGACAGACATCGCAGCTACTCTGATGTCCACAGTGGTGACCCCCATGTTAAACCCTTTCATCTACAGCCTGAGGAACAAGGACATGAAAGGAGCTCTAAGAAAAATGATTTCCATGGAATTCTCTTCTGCTCAGTATTAACATGGATTCATATGGGAGCCAGCATATAATAATATCCGATGTACTTGGCCCACTGTGTTAAACTTAAGCAGGTTTCCTTTGTAAGAAGTTCACTTATTTACATGGTAAAAATGAAAGGGTTTTTGTTTCGTTTTGTTTTGTAACATGATATTTTATTGGATGGATTTGTGGCGAAATTTTTACACGGTAAGTTCAGTTCCCAGTCGATGATTTCCACGTGAATTCTTTGGAGACATTTGTTCCCATTTACCATGATGGGTCAACAGTCTCTCTCAATGTGTTCTGTTTGTTCAATTTCCAGTATCTCCCTGCCCCGTCATCTTCTAGTCTTTACTTTTGAGTAATTGTTGATCTTTTGGTCTCATATGATGGTTTTTAAATAGGGTACGTATCTTACAGGTAACATCCTTTATTGTTTGTACCACTGTGCCATAACGGTAATCTCAGGAGATAGATTCATTACAGGGGAAAAACCATCAGGGCGTCTTCTGTTCTCTCCTATTCCAGATTGTCTGTTTTTTTTGTTGTTAAGGTGATGGTGGTGGTGGTGGTGGTGGTATTAAGAATTTGAGGATACTCCAAATTTATCTCCTATTCTTCTCAGAACTAACTATTGTGCCCCTGATAAGAACAGTCTGTGGTGGTAGTCAAGCACCATGTAGGTCTTCTGGTCTCAAAATAGATGAGGCTGTGAGTCATGTAGACTTTTGAGTAGAAACTCATCTTTATGTCTTAGTTACTAGTAAGCTTTTAAGAGCCCAGACAATAATCACCAAAGTAAGATGTAGAATATGACCTTATGAACTATGTTATGCTCTCATTTAAACTGTGGTCCTAAGCCCTCAAGGTGTCTGTGACAGCCCCTCAAGGTGTTTGTTTATGGCTAAGAGATTTGCATAACTTCCCTATGTCTATGCAACTATTTAAAACAAAACTTTTCACTGCCATCAAGTCAATTCTGACTTTTAGCCATCCTGTAGGATAGAGTAGAACTGGCCCTTGGAGTGTCTGAGACCCTAAATCCCAGGAGTAGAGAGCCTCATTTTTTGGTGCTTTCAAACTGCTGACCTTAAGGTTGGCAGCCCAGTGTGTAACTATAATGCTACTATATACCTGGATATATTTGCAATACTTGAAAATATGTACTTAGAAATATACCCTGCCTAACCTATATATGCTCCAACAGTCTGAATACTTTGTTTGGGCCGGGTCCAGACCAGGAAGCTCCCACCTCTTCTCCAGCACCTTGGGATGACAAATGACCTGCCAAACTTCAAAGCCCCTTCTCCCCAGCCTCTCAGGGAGATGGATAACCTGCCAAACTTCAAAGCCCCCTCCCCCAACATTCCAGCGAATGAGTTTGGTTTCTCACGGACTACATCCTGACTCAAGACCCCGCAGCTGCAGCAATGAAAATTTCCCTTTCTCTTATTAGCACATACCTCCTCAACTCAAGCCCTATATATATCCTACCACCTTACTG